AAAGATTAAAAATGAAAAGAGTGAACAACCATCAGATATCATCTTACCCTAGCAACAATAATGAACTTTACAGAGCAGCAAACAATAAGTGCTGGTGTAGTTGTGGAGAGACTGGAATCCTTATTGCACTGCTGGTGGGAGTGTGAAATGGTGCAACCACTATGGAAAGTGATTTGGCACTTTCTCAAAAAGTTGGACCATTTGACCCAGCAATGCCACTACTGGAAATACACCCTAAAGAAACCAGAACTGCCTTCCTTATATGCACACCCATGTTTATTGCTGTATTGTTTATAGTAGCAAAGAGATGGATGCAATCTAAGTGCCCATCAACAAATGAATGGATAGACAAACTATGGTATATTTACACAATGGAAAACTACAAAACACTGAAAAATGGTGAAATTCATAAAACTACACAACATGAGTGACCCTGCAGGACATTACATTGAGTGAAATATCCCAGTCACAAAAAGACAAATACTGCATAACACCACTGTTGTGAAGCAGGTCTGACATGAAGGTTTGGGAGGAGAATAAGAGTGGATAGTTAATAAGCATTGCACTGGAACAGATGAAGAAAAACTCTAAAAGGACTATATGATTAGGCATTATAGGTACGACAACAGCCCAGAATAAGAGGTACTTTGCAGAGAGAACTGGTGGTGGTGGGGGAGGTAATTGTGTAACAATGAATGAATATTTAATAAAACAAAAAAGTGCTCTGGGGAGGGAAAAAGGAATGGGAGGGGGTGAAAATATTCAATAATGAGTGAATAAAAATACAACTTTTCTGTAAATTTTCATTAAAATAATAACTAAAAATATTAAAGTAAAAAGAGTGGAGAAAAACATATGAGGTAGAAGCAATATAAAATAAGAGTATGTGTGGCAGTATTAATTTCTGGGAAAAAATACTTAGACAAAAAAATAGCATAAGGGAAAGGAAAGATATTCTATAATCAAAGCACCAATTGAGTGGGAAGATGTAACTAGGTATAGTGCACCCAGTGATAGAACTGCAAGATACATAAATCAGACATTAAGAAATTTAATGAGAGAAATAGCCAATTTTATGACAATCATAGGAAACTTTAATAAACGACTTTCAAAGAAGGGCTGAATGACTAGGAAAAATATTAGTAAAGACATAGAAAAACTTCACATTCAAATTTAATGACTTGCTCTTGTAGACATTTATATGACACCCAAAAAGAACTCAACATACATTGTTCTTATTCTTCATTGCACTTGGAGCATTCTTTAGAATACAACATGTATTAGGTCACAATAGAAAGCTCCATAAATAAAAAAACATAGAAATACCTTGAAGCATTTTCTCAGATCATGGTGCTTAGAAAATTAGAAATCAATAATGAGAGAAAGGGGAAAAAATCAAGAAAAGCAGGAAACAAAATTCTGCTTTATCATTATGGGTAAGAGAAGAAACATAAGAAATTGAAAAAAAATTTTGATGCAAAATGAGAATGAAAACACAGCATACTTGGAACACAGCAAAGTGTATAGCATATTTAGAACACAGCAGAAGTAGTATATAGAAATCAATTGCGATTAAGCACACATCAAGAAAGAACCCAAGTCAATACCTTGACTCAGGTTTTTCCACAGCCAGAAAAAGAGTAGCAATCAAAGTGTACAGTCTCTAGAAGAGAAAAATAATATAGGTAAGTGCAGAAATGAAATAAAACAAAAATACAGGACTAGAATTTGATTCTTTGAATAGATTAATAAAATTGACATGCCTCTTGCAGATTTGACAAAGGAAAAGATGGAGAAGGTGCTTATAAATAGTGAAATGAGTGGTGCCAAACCAACTAAAAAAAGTGATAACAGAATACTATGATGGCAACAAATTTGTAAACCAAATGGCCAAATTAGTAGAAACTCACTGCCTTCGAAAATATGATAGATGGAGAAAAGATTGAAGTTGTCTAACACAGAGATTGAATATTTGAACAGACCTATTTCAGAAGTCTCAGAGACTCAACAGGAAAATTACTCGATCTCATTGACCAGTTCAGCAAAATGGGAGAGTATTGGGATCAGCATTAAAAAATCAGTTGGATTCCTCTTTGATACTGTATATTGAGAACTATAAAGGAAATAGAGAAAAATAGCATTTCTAATAGCCACTACCTTAAAAAAATTATATTTTTCATGGTAAATCCTACCAGAGATACAAAGGAAATACTAAAACACTACTACTCCAAGAGATCTAAAAAGGGAAGAATACACTATTCTCATGGGTTGCAAAACTTACTGTGAAAATGACTGTACTACCAGAAACAGTCTACAGATGTGATGTAATTCTGATCCAGATCTCACTGACATTTTTCAAGGGTGTGAAGAAAAGTATTTGCCAGTTTCATTTGAAAACGAAGGATACCACTCCTCAGATAAGCAGAGGAATAACTGAAGAAGAAAAACCAAGTAGATCTTTATACTTCCTGATCTCAAAACCTGTTTAACAGCTGTAGTAATCTTAACACTTCCTGATCTCAAAACCTCTTTCACAGCCATAGTAATCAAAACAGCCTGGGAACAATACAGAAACAGATGTCTAGACAGTGGAATAAAATTGAGGACCTAGAAACAAATCTATCCACCCATGGACAAAGATATCTTTGACAAAGATAAAATAATACCACTAAGTGGAGCCTCTAACAAGTGGTGCTGGCAAGGTGGTAATCTGCAGAAAATTCACGGAACACTTATACTTCAGAACATGTATCAAGAACAAACTCAAGATGATGGATCAAATACTTAAGGATAAAACCTATAAATATCAAAGAAAAATTTTGGAGCAAACATACGTGCCCTAGCAAAAAACATGCTATCAAATTATAACTGAAAATGCACAGTTAATGAGAGTAAAGTAAATGACTTAGGCCTCCTAAGATGAAATTCTTATATCTGTATCTGTCTCTCTGTCTATCGGAGTGAAAAGAAAAAAATACTTGGCAATGACACATCTGACAAAGGACTTATCCGTGGATTTTACAGAAAATTCCACACCACCTCAACAATAAAAAGACAACCCAATTACAAAATTAGCTACATTTTTACATACTAAATAAAGACTTTACCAAAGAAGATATATCATCTTGTTAGGTGCTATCATAGGGTTTAGTGAACAAAAAGATCTATGAACAAAAGATCTGAACCTTGTCCTATCCAGTGTGCCATCCTCATCATCTCTGATACATTTAAATCTGTTGTAGTCCATCTTCTCTTTCCCTGACCCTCCCTCCACCTTTCTAAGCATGATGTACATTTCCAAGAAATAATCTCTCTTAGCAACATGCCCAAATATGAACATGCTATGAAGAGCTTTGTTAACTTCGCTCCCAAGGAGTCTTCTGGCTGTACTATTCTCAAGACCATATGATATTCAGTACTCTTCCTATCACCACAGCTCAAAGACATCGATTCTTCTGTCATCCTTATTCATAATCCAGTTCTCAGATGCATAGCAAGTGATTGCAAAGACTCTGTCCTGAATTAGGTGCACCTTAGTCCTCAAAGTGACATCATTGCTCCTGAGTAATTTAGAGAGGTCCCTGACAACAGACTTTCCCAATACAGTATTGCTCCTGATTTCCTGACTGCTGGTACCAAAGGTGTTGATTATCAATCCAAGAAAGATAAAGTCATTGACAATTTCAGTCTTTTTTTTTTTTAGCTAACATGATTAGGCTATTGGCACAGTAGTGAGGCCCCAGGACTTATACCAGCCGAGCTGGTGTCTTGGAGATACAGCCTGACCTTCCTGGTCTCAGGCCTTGAGTCTGCTGAGCTGGCACTCAGCATCCTGGCTTTGTGGGAATCAGCCTATCCTCCCAACTTCAGTCAGTAAACTACTCAGCCAGAACTCAGCATCATGGCATTGTGGGAGATGGTCTCATGCCTCTGGCCTCAACCCAACAGCCTCTCCTATTCCATACCACAGCCAGTAGCTGCATGTGCTGTGATATTTGCTAAATACCTGCTACCACCTCGCCTAGGGAGACCTACAAGCCTACCTACTGGCCAGACGCCTAGACATGTCAGACCTTGCGTTTCCTCTGTCCCCAGTACCTTAGTGTGTGGTTGCTTGTCCTCAGTTTAATCCTAGGGCTGACTCACCTGTTTATCAGTTTCTTGTATTGCAGGAGTGATTGGCAAGTTGCTGTTGTGCATAGCTTAGATGTGTATATGTTTACCATCTAAATGGGTGTAGTGCTTGTCTGTCAGATGTTGTACTAAAGTGGAGCTCACAAATGAAGATCGACTTGGAAGAAGGATTGACTACCCACCTCTGAAATGGAAGGCCTTTTAAAACCCTTTGAACAATAGAACACACTCACGTAGATAGAGCATTGGAGGTAGAGCCCTCAAAATTCAAAGACACTAAAAAATGAGGACCAACAGATGGAAAAATCCACTAACAATTCGAACATAGAATGTATAAATGTAGGAAAATAGAACATTGTGAAAAATAAATAGAACATATTAGATAAAAATTAAAAAACTGAGATATTATCTCCACCACAATATAAATGGCAATAAGATCAGAGGCTAAGTATTGTGTTCAGTTTGGATTACATCTCAGAGGAAACAAAAATCCTCACAAGTGGACAAATAACGTATAAAATGGAGCGTAAGGATTGGTGTCAATGAATTCATTTTGTGTTCATTTATTTTACTTCCTTTTTTCCCCACCAATGGAAACTGCATTCAAGAAATGAAAGATGGCCACTGCACTGTAGTCCTGAAGGTGTGTGGTTCGAATCCACCAGATGCTCTTCGTTGGAGAAGGATGGGCAGTTGGATCTGACTGGACAGCATACTACAAAAATTAAAGTGTCACTAATGAAAAAAGAAATGAAAGATGCAAATAAAAAGCGAGATATGAATAACCAGATTGTTTCTGTTCTTCTACTTACATTTTATCACTTCTCCTCTGGATTTTGTTTGACTGACTCTCTTTGCACCTGCAGATATCGCTGATATTTCTGTCAAACAGTGCCAGCAGCGCTACGAGGACATGAAACATCGTTGTCGGCATAATGAAGATATTTTCAGTGCAGAATTTATAACTGCTGATTGTACGAAGGTATTGTATTTATGTCTTAAAAATGTGTCTAGTTTTTTACATTCTTAGTTTGGATCAGTGATGTGTTAAAAAGAAAACCTTTTCTTGTCTAGAGACACATCTTCAGCAATTTCAGTTTCAATGAGAAATGAGAAATTTTCTTTTTTTAAAATTTCTTTTTTTATTATTTTTTGTGTGAATACTGTCAAATAGGATCTAACTGGTACAGGAGGATATTGCCCCTCCTTCTCCAGCAGAGCATCTGGTGGATTTGAACCATGTGTCTCTGGGATTGTAGTGCAGCTTCTTGCCACTAGGCCACCAGAGCGCCCTGAAATGAGTGCTAAATCAACTAAATGCAGGAAATTTTTCTTTTAATAATTGTGAACTTCTAAAATCATCTGTTGCATTTCTGTTGGGATTTATTTTCAGTATTTTGAATTACAGCAACATAGTGTGTTTTGTTCATCTTATAACTTATTACAGTTGCTTGTCAACTGTAAATATATCAGAATATATTTTTATTTTCCAACTTTCACTATATTTAAATCAACAACTATGACATTTAAAATTTTCAGAGACACTTAAATGATGAAAATCTCACCTTGAACTTGGTATTCTTTCTCTCACTAGTTGCTAAACTACTTTTGATACTTAATTGTATACATTTTTGTTTTGAGTTTCCTTTTTTGGGGGGGTATGGGGTATGGATTTGAAAGAAAGAATACTGACAGTATACTACTACAAAGTTAGAAAAGCTTTTGCCTTTTTTAGAAAAATATCAGTCTTTTAATAGTTTCTATTTCCTTCAGTAATGTGTCCACGGTACCCTGTATTTCAAATTCTGTTATACTGACATACCCTTGTTGTTGTTGTTTTTAAAAATTTAAATTTTTATTAATTTCAGTAAAAATTTACAGAGACTTTGGATTTCCATTCATTCATTGTTGCACATTTTTCCTCTCCCTGAGAACACTACCCTCTTGGAAAAGTAAAAGAAAAATTCTTTCATTGTTTTACAAACCCTCCACCAGGTCCACTCCACCATGTAGCCTTCACTCTAGACTCCTGTCATGAGTACCTAATCACATAACCCTTTTAAACAGTTTTCTCCCTCATCTGTTTCCATGCAGTATACATTATTGAACCCATCTTTCTCAGTCTCTCCCCAAACCCTATGTCAGTCCTGTTTTACAACAGTGGCACCATGCAATATTTGTCCTTTTGTGACTGAGATACTTCACTCAGTATAATGTCCTCCAGAGTCACCCATTTTGAATAATACTGCATGAGTTCCTTGTTTTTCAGTGCAGCATGGTATTCCATTGTGTGAATATACCACAGCTTCTTTATCCATTTGTTTGTTATGGGCACTTAGTTTGTTTCCAGTTCTTTGCTATTGTGAACAAAGCTGCAATAAACATGGCTGTGTATATATCTGCTTGGATGTCAGTTATTGCATCTTTAGGGTTTATTCCCAGTAGTGGAATTGCTGGGTCAAATGGTATCTCTATTTGCAACTTTTTGAGAAAGTGCCATACTGCCTTCCAAAGTGGTTGCACCATTTTACATTCCCACCAACAGTGAATAAGTGTTCCAGTTTCTCCAGAACCTTGCCAGCATCTGTTGCTTGCTGTTCTGTTAAATTTTGCTATTCTGACTGGGGTGAGATGGTATCTCATAGTTGTTTTAATTTGCATCTCTGTTAGAGCTAGGGATTTTGAACGTTTCTTCATGTGCTTGTTAGCCATCTGAATGTGGTCTTTGGGGACGTGTCTGTTCATATCCTGTGCCCATTTTTCTGTTGGATTATTTACCTTTATTTTGTTATGGTGCTCAAGTATTTTATAAATTTTGGATATAAGTCCCTTATCTGACATGTCATTATGAAATATTTTTCCCCAGTCTGTGGCTTCCCTTTTTACCCTGTTGGAGAAGTTTTTGGATGTGCATAGGGATTTGATTCTTAAAAGATCCCATTCATCTACTTTATTTTCTCCTGGTTGTAGGTTTTTCAGGATACTTGGAAGACTGTTTATGTTGTGGATTAGGACTTCCAGTGTTGTTCCTAGCTTTTCTGTAATGAAGTTTATAGTCCTTGGTTTTAGTCCTAGGTCCATGAT